AACCCTATAAAGCCAAATGTGTCATATCTGATTCGGTTTCTTTTGGATGTGAGACTTTCTGCATCATTCAGTGGTAAAAGCTTTGCTCAAACCCCTGTTGTACACATTCAGATATACCTGATAACAGCCAGTAGAAGACTACACCAACATAGATTTTTGACTTATTGCACGCTAATTTGATCAAAATCATTTCAGTTTATTTTCTTCATATGTTGTTGAGGGGCCAAAGAAAGACTTCAGACTAAAAAAATCCAATATTCTTCCTATTTTTCTTGGATCAGGCTTTAAAGGGTTAAATCTTCTTTTCTTTTCTGTTTGTTATGCAGGTGAAAAAGACAGTTCTAGAATCCAAAGACGAGCATTTCTGGCTTTTTGCCATTCTTCTGTTTCTTCAATTTAAAGACTTTTGAAATAAACTCAGTATAATAAAATGATTTTCCTGACAATATTTTGCTTATTTCTGTTCTCGGAAAAAAGATATTGACAGTCCTGACATGGTTTTTGTCAGTTGGTGGTGTCCACAGTGACACGCTGTTATGGAGATATGGCAGAGCGAGCTCTAACAGGTAAAACCAGAAATAGACTCTCTGTATTTGCATTTTCAGCCTGCTCCTGCAGGCTCCGGCATATCTCCCCGCCTTTCACGCTGATTATGACGAGCTACAAAGCAGCCGATCAACAAAAGGCCTGCTGGGACGGGCAGATATTTGTGTACCGAGTCATGCCGGGGGGGGAAACATGCAGTTCAAAGAGCATTTGTTTTAATTCACTCTGTCAAAAAGCCGCATATCTAACCAGAGACTGTTGTGGCTTTGCTGAAATGGGAAAAACTGCAGAGTTTGACTTGTGTCACTGTTAGAATTGGGCTATAATTACTCTCTTTAGCATAGTGTGTTATATCTTAATCCATGTAAATGACTGATTGTCTTGTTCCTTTTTAGATTCATATTCCCTTTATAATTCTACTTTTGGGTAGGGTTGTCACGATACTAAAATTTTCAAATGGATACCGATACTCAGGAAAATATTCAATGCCATTTTTAATACCACAAGGATAAAAACAAAGACCCCAAAATTTAACTGAATTTTGACAGGTTAGTGTCTTTGGTTTCAAACTGACCTGTTACTGATGTTATGGTGGCCCACATTAATGACCCTAACCCTAACCCTAACCCTAACCCTAACCCTAACCCTGACCCTAACCCTAATCCTCCAAACTTCATAATTGTGAGAAATAAATATTTTTGGTTAAACTTGTTTAGACTTATTGTACAAACAAGTTTAACATCTGCTGGTGACCAATAAAAGTCAGATTTGTACTCTTGATCTGCTCTGGTTTATTCTCAGGCTTCCAGCTAAAGAACCAAACTAACATCACTGTAGCCGACCTGCCGCATTAAACCAAGCACACTTTTAACTTTTACAAAAACAGAACAGTGTTTTTAGGCAGATTGTCGTCATGGTGACCATTTTAGTGAGTTTGTCTGTTAAGGTGTTTCCTTGTGGGCCTTTCTGAGAGCCAGCGTTAATGGAAATGAAAGGAATGGGTGGAAAAACGTAGAAGATGGTGATATCCATCCTGGTGCACAAGCAGAACTTAAACGTGAGAGATGCTAAATCATAATGTAAGGAGAAATCTCTAAATGCTTGAGTTTGTGACTTCCTGGAAAAAGGTCTTCTGACGGTTTAAAGATGTCCTCTGTGGTCCATGAATAATAGACACAGATAAGGGCTCTGAACGGGGCTGTTTTGGGTTAGGGTTAGGGTTAGGGTTAGGGTTAGGGTTAGGGTTAGGCAGGGGGACTGAACTGCTATTGGGCTTCATCCTTATGGGATTCTGACCAAAGCTTGTCACAGACATTACATTAGGACGGTGTTTTCCAACCCCTGTGCCTCGGTACACTAGTGTGCCATAAAAAATCATCCTATTTCACCTCATTGGTCAAAAATTTTTTTTTGATAAGGAATTAATTTTCTGCAAATAATATTCCATTTCTGAGTGTCTGTGCTGTTCTAGTGACTGGTGGAGTAATCATGTAATAATTCCTTATGACTAGATTTTGTATATAATTTTGTATATTGAAGTGGACATGTTAAGTGCAATTTGAAAGAAGAAATATAAAATAAGATAAAAATACATTTTTGTGTTTATTTAATTCCTATTCAAGACACTTAAGATAAGATAAGAATAAAATAAGAATAACTATAGTGTTACTATAGGCGGATACAGATTTGTTTGACATTTTTGGTTGGTGTGCCTGGAGATTTTTTCAATGAAAAACTGCACCTTGGCTCAGAAAAGGTTGAAAAACACTGCATTAGGACACCAGGGAACTAGTTTAACTTGAAATAGGGTATAATATGTCTCCTTTAAAGAATGATACGGTTTTTAAAACGCTCAGTTTGTGCTTATCGTTTTCAATAATGAGTTAGTGTGGAGGTTCCTCCACAATTAACCCAGTGTTAGTATTTATTGTTTCATGCCATACATTTATAATTTCATTTGTTTGCGTGTCTATTGTTTTCGGTTGTTTACTATTATGGGTGCACACATTTAGTAAACGCCTTTGTTCTGTAATTATTAATTATTGTTTGCTGAGTTGTTGGTTTGTTATCCTGAGTTAGGTAAGCTTTAGTTGTTTTCTTTTGGGCCCATTTTTTGTCATATTTTGGAATTTGATGTCCTTTTCTATGGAAGAATAATAGGGAAATAAATAGAATTTATGTTTAGGCCTTTGTCCTTGTGGTTTATGGTTCATGCATTCATTGCTCTACGACAGTGCTTCTCAATTATTTTCTGTTATTTTGTGTCCCCTAGCAAGAAATTTTTTTTCGCGCCCCCCCACTCCCCACCGTGACTATCCATCTATTCACAACATTTTATCCTTATTAACATTAAAGAAAAGAAAAAAAAGAAAGACATATGGTCAAACTTACAACTTTATTAAATCGTGTTTTAAGTCTGCAACAGAAAAGATTTTAAGCGCATCAATGCCTGAAATTAAAAATAAATAAATCCTTGTTTAAGCTGTAAATGTGTTTGACCAACTAATTGCACCATTGCAAAATTAAATCAAATCAAGTCAATAAATAAACTACAAAAACAACAAAAATAGTAACTGATTTATATTCAGTTAAGCAACATTAACTCAGGAGAACAAAATATATAAAACACTTAGCTTTCGGTTAACTTTCTTTTGTCTCGTTATCTTTGTCTCTCTCCGCTTTTCTTTTCATCTGTTAAAACTTTTCCATGTTGGGGGTTTTTATGTTGAATAACGGAGGCTAGAGACAGAACACAGATGCTAACCGAGGCTAACCTGTCGTCTTTAACCTCCTGAGACCCGAGCTTTTATTTGGCATGCATTTTAGCTTTTTTTAAAAAGATATATGAGATACATATTTAATTAAATGTTTTTACAATTTTGTTCTGACAGTCCCATTGACTTATTTACAGTTTTTCTATTACACAATAAGAACATGATTGGATGGAAATGTATAAAACCATTTTACTTTAGATTTCAAACAGTGTCTGATAGCATCTGCTATGAGGCCAAGAGGTCAAAGCTGAAAGAAAAAAAGAAGTATCATGGTAAAGAGAGACAAAAATGCAACGTCCTCTTATGAGGACACAGGGTCTCAGGAGGTTAAGTCGTAAAATGTTGCACTGAAGCAACGATGAGAGCGCCACTGCCCCCTACTGGAGTGGATGCGCAATTACACTTTATACTAGTACGGACAAAGTACGGCCCAAAAAAAAAAGCCTGTTCCCCAGTGTGACACGCACCCCCCCAGGTATCGCCCCACTATTTGAGAAGCATTGCTCTACGACAGGGATGTCAAACTCCAAAACACCGGGGGCCAAAATGTAAAACCTGAACAAAGGCGCGGGCCAAGATTGAACAAATGAACCTTTTAATATGGAACAAAACGAATTTTGCTTTAACATTGAATATGGAACAAGCAACTCTTATTACATTATATATAACTTAATAGTGGAGACATGCACAATCAAATAAAAAAAATAAAAAACCCCCACATCAATGGCATTGATTTATGAAATAAAACTTTAAAACATTTTTCTATTGGCAGCCTTCTGAATTAAATATCAAAATTAAATGGGCTTGTCCAGAAAGCTCCTGTTTCCTGCCTTTCTTTGGGTCATTTTTGGGCAGCAGCACAGTGACAGCTGTAGTATTTCCTACTGTCACAGAGGAGATTCTAGGTCCCGTACAACAGCAGGGCATTATGGGAGTTGTAGTATGAGCCGTTAAAGGTCTGTACTAGGCATGGCAAGATTCACCGATGCGTATCGGAACATCGGAACGACCTGTGCGATACGGTTGCATCGATTTGCAAACGTCTGCATCGGTAAAAACCGCACATAAACTCGAGATGCATCGTATAAAACTACCTGCATCGATACAAACCGATTATTATCTTCTATTATTATAACTTTTTAGAAACGTGTCTTTGAGTTTTAGTTGCGTTTCTTGTAAAGTTTCAGAGAGACAATCACTCTCTAAGTTGCACTTCCTTTATTTCAAAATAAAATTACAGTTAGCTTGCGTGCCATAACTTGAACTATGTAGTCCATGGTGCACTTTTCTTCTGCATCGCATCGCATCGTATTGTATCGTATCGTATCGTATCGCACTGTATCGCAGCATTTTAAATTTAGATCGTTCTGTATCGCACCGGATCGCAGGAGGTTGGAGAATCGTATCGAATCTTATCACTAGAAATTCCATGAATCGTGAATGTATGGAATCGTTGGCTGTGTATCGAGATGTGTATCGTATCGCCTTGGTGGTGAAGATTCCCATCCCTAGTCTGTACAGTATAATACCAGCTCTTGTGGTCATTTGGTATTGTCTTGCGGGCCAAATATAATTACAACGCGGGCCAGATTTGACCCGCGGGCCACAGTTTGACACCCCGGCTCTACGATAACTTTGCTCTCTCTGTCCTGTTTTTTTCAGAGTGAAGCTGACAGAAAGATGAAGCTTTTTAAAGTCCCAGCAGGCCTCTTTCTGCTTGTCCAAACCCTTCACCTGGCAGCACTTCAGGACTCCACCGACTCTCCAGGACGCACGATTGATAAAAGCTGGCTCCGCAAGCCCCTCAAAGCTGAAGTGGAAAGTAATCTTTCTGCTGACGCGGGAAATTTTAACACTGACGACATCAGCGGGACGCCTTCTGGATTTATGTTAGGAAACACCGATGAGGAGAATCTGCTGAATGGAGATCTCAGTGGAAACCAAACATCTGATGATCTGAGCGCATTCCCTTCAGCGATGTCTCCAATATCCGAAAATACAACAACTGAGCAGTTTGGATCCATTGAAGACAAAACCAACACGACCACAGGATCCACAGACCTGAGCCAAACCAACGTGACCGAAGCTGAGGAGGAATTTAACTCGACGACAACCGCAGAAAACTCCACCGGTGGAGGGGATTTCTTCAATAAAACCCAAACTCAGCCGACCACCTTAGCTCCAGAGAGCAGATCAACAGGAGAAACCACAACCCCGGAGGCCAAAGGAGAGCTAGCAAACAGCACAGAAACCGCTAACACAACGGCCAATATGACCACGGTGGGACCGGGAATAGAGGAGGAATCCTCCACTTTATCCTCCACTTTATCCTCCACTTCATCCTCCACTTCATCCTCCACTTCATCCTCCACATCCCAGCCCTCTGAGGATTGGGAAACCAGCACCATGACGACCACTGAGTCTCCAAACACACCCGAGAGGGCGAACAAACCCGGGAAAGGAGCTAGCAGCTCAGAGAGAGGTACTGGTTATGTTTATGTTTATGTTTATGTTTATGTTTATGCATTTGTCAGACGCTTTTATCCAAAGCGACTTACAGAGTAGACACGATATGACATTTCTCATCACTATGACGATAAGCTATCCAGAGGAGAAACCCTGATCAGAGTCAGTGGTGAGATAGAGATAGAGGTAGAGATAGAGGTAGAGGTAGAGGTAGAGGTAGAGATAGAGGTAGAGATAGAGATAGAGGTAGAGGTAGAGGTAGAGATAGAGGTAGAGATAGAGATAGAGATAGAGGTAGAGATAGAGATAGAGATAGAGATAGAGGTAGAGGTAGAGATAGAGATAGAGATAGAGATAGAGGTAGAGGTAGAGATAGAGGTAGAGGTAGAGGTAGAGATAGAGATAGAGGTAGAGGTAGAGGTAGAGGTAGAGATAGAGATAGAGATAGAGATAGAGGTAGAGGTAGAGATAAAGATAGAGATAGAGATAGAGATAGAGGTAGAGGTAGAGGTAGAGGTAGAGGTAGAGATAGAGATAGAGGTAGAGGTAGGGATAGAGGTAGAGGGACTACAGAAGGAGCTGTGGGGGGTAGAGGTACTGTCACAAACCTGTCCCGTCTGGGGGAATGTCTGGTGTGTTGTCATGTCTTGATTACCTATTGTGTTCACCTGGGGTTCCCCCCCCTCATGTGTTTAAATAGTCCTCGTTTCCCATGTCCTGGGCCAGTTTTGCATTTCCAGTTATGTCCTATTCTGACGATTCTGACAGTGATAGCAGCATTGTGTAATATCATAAATATAAAGTGATCAATTGTAATGTGCAATATTTGCAATACAGTCATTCAAGTAACAAGTAAGATACAGTGGGGGAAATAAGTATTTGAGCCCTTGCTGATTTTTCAGGTTTGCCCACTTACAAAGAATGCTTATTTTTCCTCATCAGATGGTTATCAATTTTTATAAATTCATATGATGTGATTTTCTGGAATTTTCTTTGGGATTCTGTCTTTCACTGTTAGAATGTACATATGATTAAAGTTATAGATCGTTGCATTCTTTGTAAGTGGGCAAACCTGCAAAATCAGCAAGGGCTCAAATACTTATTTCCCCCACTGTATGGGACTATATAGCCACCGATCCTTGAGGAATTGGTTGCTGGTTTTACAGTAACACTATGCTCCTCACTCCTGAGCACATTTATCTCTGTTTCTTTTCTCCCTGACCCACATTTACCTGCATCCATTTCCCCCACCGGCAACAAACGACAAACGTCCCCTTTTTGCAAAGGCAAATGCTGGTCTGGTTTCGGGTTACGTCCGAGTGGCCGCTATAAGAGAACGGGTCCATTACAGCCACCCTCTCAGAAGCACAATGAAACCCTGTTTTAGCAGGATAAAAAAAGGAAAAAGAAACAGAAAAAAGGCATCGAGGGACTGGGGTTTAGAGACTCAGGCCTCTGTGCAGGAGCGTGAGACGAGTGTTCAGTGTCCACCTCCAGATCGGGGAGATTGGAGTGGAAAAGGCTGGTGTCATACACACTTGTGCAAAACAATCTGCAATTCAATCTCTCTCTGTAAGGCAAGGCATTTTTATTTTTATTTATATAGCGCAATTCATACCAAGCGGCAATTCAATGTGCTTTACATTAAGACAAGACGTTTTAAATAAAAGAACAGC